AGCTCAAGGCGAGCGCTCTACCACTTGAGCTACAGTGCCACTTCCAGTTTTCTGGTGGTTTATTGGAGATAGGAGTCTCACGGTCTCTCCTGCCCAGGCTGGCTTTGAACCATGATGCTCAGATCTCAGCTTCCTGAGTAGCTAGGATTACAGGCGTGAGCCACCAGCTCCCGGCTTCCTAACTTTTTTTTAAAGTTGAGATTAGGTGATTACATACAGTATTGTGGAATAGTGATAGTTAAAGTCACAAACACATTTTAACCTTCACAAGGTAAATTGTCATTATCATGGTCTATAAAGTTTGTGAATACTATGAGCTTTGACAATACAATTATTTCTTCCACATCAGGTGATAGTTACATTTCTTTCCTTTTGCTTAGTTTAAGCTGTTCCCTCTTTCCCTCTCATTCCTCCCGTCATCACTGTCTTTGCATTGCTTAGTTCCTTTTCTTCTATGTCAGTGCAGCTGATGGGCCCCTCTGTTGTATGTTTTCCTGTTTCCCTCTGATTCTGTGTCCTCCTAGCTTCCTTCCCTTGTGCACATATATATACCATATATGTGGTCAAGAACATGGAGTCATTTAGCAATGATACAATAAAATGAGTGGAAGTCCTTTATTTCTCGAGCCCTATTTACTTTGTCATATCTCCTTGCATTCTGGCTTTAGCATCCACGTATCAAGGACACCATGTGCCGTTTGTCTCTTTGCTCTTGGCTTACCTCGCTCAAGATGATTTGCTCTAGTTCTATCCATTTCCCTGCAAATGCCATTACTTTGTCCTTTCTAATGGCTATATAATATTCCATTGTATATAGGTACCACAATTTTTGGATCACTCATCAGTAGTGGGGCATCTGGTTTGTTTCCATATCTTGACTATTGTGAACAGTGCTGCAATGAACATGGAGGTGCATGTGTCCTTGTATCCTGATTCCTGTTGCTCAGGTTAGATGCCTAGGAGTGGTATGTCTGGGTCATAGGGGAGGTCTATATTTAGCTTTCTGAGGTACCAGTATACATTCCCACCAGCAATGCAGTAGGAGAACCTAACTTTTGACCCTTGGATCAGGCCAAGTGCTCTAGCACTAATCTATATCCCAGCCCTAAATTTATTTTAAATTGATAATATTTTAGCTTTATGATGGTAATACACTGTTATAATACTTTAACTATAGTCTATGTGTTTTTAAAGAAAAACTGAAGCTACAGTAGTGCCTATACTCATGACAGATAGTGCTAATGGAATAGAAAAAGCAAATGATTGGTTAACTAAACCAACAAATCCAACATAGCCTCTCAGATATTACAATCAAAATTATTGTCCCTATCGTTCCACAGACATAAACAACTAAATTGGTTACAGAACTACACGTTGAACCCTCATGTGAAAATTCAAAATGCTTCAAACCCCAAAATTTGAATGCTGAATTCAGGCCACAAAGGAAAACTCCACATTTAACCTCAGATGATAAGTCAAAGCCCAAACACTACCCTACTAAAAAATTTGTAACAAGTTAACTTGTTACAGGTTATATATAATGTCTATGAAATGAATTATATGTTCTGAGTAAGTCACATTAGGAATATACACATATTTCAAAGAGGTTGTGGTCTCAAGTATTCTGGATAAGAGATAAATCTGTACATCTATGAGTTCACAGAGGAAAAAGTGTTACCATTTTGGGGGGAGAAATTTAAAGCCAAGTTTATAATTTCTAATAATTTCAACACTTACACCATCAACATCTAAATCTAAATACCTGAGTAACTCTTAAAATGAGTAGAAGTCAAGTGAGGTTTTAAAGTCGTTTGTGCCAGGCCCTGGAGGCTCACTCCTGTAACCCTACCTATTCAGGAGGCTGAGATAAGAGGATTATAGTTGAAAGTCAGCCTAGGCAGGAAAGTCTGTGAGACTTACCTCCAATTAACCATCAGAAAACTGGAAGTGGAATTGTGGCTCCAAGTAGTAGAGCACTAGCTTTGCCCAGATTAGCTCAGGGACAGCACCCAGGTCCTGAGTTCAAACCCCATGACCAATTAAAAAAAGTCATTTGTGTACATTCTGGGTTTTAAAAATCAAACACATCATTACATGACCATCAGTGTCATGGAATATTGTAGACATATGCTTGCATTAAGTTTACATAACATAGCCTATATTATGCCGAGACTGTAAGAATATATAGTCCATTTCTTTCTTTTTTGGCCAGTCGTGGGGCCTGAACACTGGGGTCTGGGCGCTGTCTCTCGGCTCTTCAGCTCAAGGCAAGCTCTCTACCACTTGAGCCAAAGCACCACTTCCAGCTTTTTCTGCTTATGTGGTGCTGAGGAGTCAAACCCAGGGTCTCATGCATGCAAGGCAAGCACTCTATGACTGAGCCACCTTCCCAGCCTATGTAGTATGTGACTTGTTTGACTTGTAAATCAAAATTTCCTTTGAGTGGGATAATGTTGCAGGTGAAAAAACCAAGGCAATTTCTTTCTTTCTTCTTTTTTTTTTTTGGGGGGGGGGTGTTGGTCGTGGGGCTTGAACTCTGGGCTTAGGCGCTGTCCCTGCACTCTTCAGCTCAAGGCAAGTGCTCTACCACTTGAGCCGCAGCACCATTTCCAGTGGTTTATTGGAGATAAGAGTCTCATGGATGTTCCTGCCCGGGCTGGCTTTGAAGCGCGATCCTCAGATCTCAGCCTCCTGAGTAGCTAGGATTACAGGCGTGAGCCACTGGTGCCTGGCTGACAATTTCTTTTTAACTGAAGCAAAATACCAAATCTGAAAAATACTGATTGTAATTCTTGAACATGTTATTGCAAGTAACTTAAAATGATTATTACTTCTTACCTCTAGATAACCAAAGTTCTGCCATCTGTACCTCTTGCAGAAAACGTTCTTGTAGTTTTTCATTTGTTGCTAGATCCCACAACTAAAAGATTCATAAGACATTTAACAATGAGTAGTGAATGTAAGGCCTTTGGTGTACTGGTCAAAATCAATTCTTATTTTAAAAGCACATTTTGAGCCTAGTCTCTAATGAGTGAAAAATGTAATTTCTCTTTATAATTAAATGTTTCCTAAAGTAGGGTTAAAGTTTTTGAGATTTAAAAAAAAAAGAATGGTAATAACACTGCAGAAATCCTCCTATAACTAATACAGTAAAGGTAGCTTTGTGTGTTGCAATTGTGTTTTCTTGCTTGTTATTACCAATGCATGTTGTTGCAGAGATTTCTCTGGCCTATAGGTCTCTGGTCATTGTGATATCTCCTCATAGAAACATCTCTACTAGATATTCATTTCATTAAAAATGTTCTACAGCTTGGTACCTCTCTACTAGGTGAGACAGGAAACTGGCAAAGCTTCTATATTGAAACCCTCAGGAGAGCAGGATAGGGCATGGTGGCAGGTTGACAGCTGATAAGTATCAGAACGTTGGTTCAGAAAGGCAAACAAGACCACAAGATGTCATCATCCTTGGAACTATGACTAGGACTGGTCTTTATTGTGCTTACTAACCCAGCCCCTTGAAAGCTTTTATCAGTAATAGTTGTCAAAGGCTCCATAAGTGGATGAGGTTTAGTAAGTACTATAAATGGCAGGACAGTCTAGGAGCAGCTGGAAGAAGTAGGCAACCAACGCAAACCTCTAAGTCCATTGACAAACCCACCACAAGGCTGAGAAAGTGATTCCTAACATATAGGTATGATAAGAAGTCCAATGTCTTTTGGGATTCACAGTACTTTACATCTGGATAAAGAATCAGGAAAGGTTTCTCAGAAAAGAGCATGAGTACGGAGAAGTTTGGTAACGTTTGATGAAGAAGGCATTGTATGGCACACATCGAATGGTCATTTGTTTTTGCAATACTGGGGGATTTGAACTCAGGGTTTTGTACTTGTGTTTACCACATGAGCCATGTCCCAGCATTCAATTTGATTATGACAAGGTAAACATAGCATCAGTACTCATTACTGAAGACCAGCTGCAGACAAGGAACTTTATATAGTATAATTTCCAACCCTTAGGCAGTTAGTACAGTAGGCACTCATGCAAGGCAGTGGTATCCAAGTGAGGTTGGTTTCAGAAGTGCAGAGAGTAGGGAGGTTGTGCATAGAAAGCCTGTAGTGGCTGGATACAAAGAGGAGTGATGGAATGGGTAAGGAGTTAGTACACCCATATTTATGGAAAACAAGTCTGTTATTTAAGTAAACAAGAGCAGCCAGGAGGGTAGCAAGTCTATAAGCTTCATAAGGAAGCAGGAGAAGATTGGTAATAAGGATGAGATCATGAATCGGTGCCATCCGTGTAACTAGGTAAGTGTGGAGCATGTAGGTCCAATTTGGGCCTAGAGTGGTACATCTGAGAACCCGGTCGGAGGAGACAAAACCATGGAAGACATTGGGGGCCCAGGGCCCTTCCGGATGAGCTGTTAGGGAAGGGTCCTGGGGTCCACCCCGACCTACAGGATAACCCTTGGCTCAGCCATCTACATTGGTAACAAGCTCCAGGTGATGCATCCGCATTCCAGTTGGGGACTCACGGCTAAGGAACCACACGTGCTGGCGTTAGGATCAGACAACGCGCACGTCTGAGCAAACGCCCGGGGAAAACCTCCTGCGGATGGACCAAGGCAGTGAGTACTAGTCCTGCCCTTGAGCCCTGGGCTGCTGCACTCAAGGCCCCAGCTCCACTTCCGTCTTGTAGCTAAGTCTCACAGACGTTCCTGCCCCGGCGGGCTTCGAACCGCGACGCTCCTCTCTACCTCCTCCTTAGCTAGGGTTCCCGGTGCGAGCCCGGCCCCCGCCATGACCGCCCTCCCTCCTTCCCTCCCTCGCTCGCTTCCTTTTGCTGCAGAGAGCTAGCACTAAACGGAAGGCTGCGGCACGCGGGGCACAAGCACCCCCCCCACGCCCTGCTTCTAGAAAGTTCCCGGCGTGTGGGCGACGCCTCACCTGCGCGTCCCGCGCCTGGGCCGGTGGCTGCTGGGCTCTTCTCTCTGCAAACATAGATGGCTCGTGGGCCCGCGGTCCCCTCGGCCGCCGCCCATCCCGCG